TGAAGAGCCCGATTTGAGACACGAGGCTGAGAAGCCACATCTTGAAGGCAGCATTTGTGTAACTGAAAGCCCTGTCAGAGGCTGGTCCTCGGGGTGCACAGAGACCCACTGTTAATCACAGCAGCCCACACGGTTCATGTTTCCTGCAGGTGGCCAGGCTACCAAATCTGCAGAAGCTTGGGGGGAAAAAAAACCCCCGCATACATCTAACAAAGAGACATTCCTGGTTTTCAGGGGAATTTACTTCCCCATCCATTACAGGGAAAAAAACAAAAAAACCCCTAAGAGACAGTCCTTCAGTTGACCAATTTTTTTTAATTCTTATTTTTAATGCAAGTGGATTTCAGAAGCTTTTTTTTTAAGGTTGTAAAAGATACAGCAGGAAGTTTCTCAGCTCCAAAAAAAGCCAAGTACAATATCCTCATATATAAATTACACCTTTACAAATCTAATATCTACATAAAATCAATATACAGAGCTGTGGATTAAACAGCATAAAGACTCTCCATCCTAGCTGTGTGATTCATCAGGACACAGGGGTAATTAAAGGGGCAAATGAATAATATGGACAATAACTTCTGCAAACAACAGGACTCAGAATTATGAACATAAGACAACAGACCACATCATGTGCCTGTGCAAGCAGCTTCACAGACTGAGCAGAGTAATGCTGATTCACACCTGTCAGAGATACAACTCAATTCCTTGTTTCTTTAAGATTTTTTGTAACAAACCATAAACCATTCTAATCCTAAACCTAAGCAGGGTGACACCTTTAACTGTATCACATTCATGCAACTTAAAAAAAACCTTTGACACACAACAAAGCAATGAGTGCTTCTTTCACAGAAGTCTCTGTGGTTGCAACGCAGCATCCTCACTGGAAGCAAATCCCTGTTATTCCAAGAGAGAGCAGTATTTAAACAAAGCCATTTGTTCTTCCTCTCCTCATGATGCTATCTTATCACAGTCCAAGTGTTTTATATCAGCGCACTGAAATTATGTGTAATGAACAAGGATGTTCAAGATAAATCCTAAGAGTTACAAAGCAAATACTTCCTTTCTCTGTAAACAATATGACTGAACCCACTTCTTGAAGAAATCAAGCTATATTTATATTCACCCTCTTGAAATGCTACAGGCAGCCATAGAAGGATAAGTTTATAATAAATTGCTATATTTGGAAACCTTTGTTGCTAAGCATCTTCTAACATTCAGTACAGTTTATACCATTCATGTCCCTGCTACATAATTAACATTTCATATGTTTTTTGTTTTTTTTTTTTTTTTTAAAGTGCAGTGCTTATCTTTGCTGATAAATTAAAAACATTATATTTTTTAGGGAATTAATAAGAGACCACACGGTAAAGTAAATAAATGAGAAGCAACAGGTTCTCAAGGGCACCAAGCACAACAATTAAGGTTGAGATAGATGCACAGAGTTGATGTCTGTCACCTCCTTGTCAACTCTTACAACAAATACTGCAAGTTTCATACCCAGTGTTTTTCCTAAGAAATCACAAAGTTTTGTGGTTTCATTTTGTGAGAGGCTGGAACTGTACCTTTAGCAGAGGAAAAGAAGGTATTGGAAGAAAAATCCAGTAATATTTTATATACTCAGCAGATCAAGTAAAAACACTCTTAACTGATCACTACAAGCATCTCTATGTAAAGGTGTCATGGGTTTTGGTCATAATATCCTGTTTGGAAAAGTCCAGAGCACAGGTTTTCCAGGTTTCTTGTCCACCTTTCCTCCCTGCCCATTCCAGCACACACCGCACCATAATTCTGTACACACTTATATACATGGGGGTCAAGAAACTTTGAGGGCAAGCTGAACATTACAGCCTCCACAAACTTCCTAAAAACTTCCATGAATGTGCACAGAGTTGCTGAACAGAACAGAAAAGTTTCCTGTCTGACCCCAGAAGTACCACTAACCAAATCTTGCACTGGAGAACAAACGACTTCTGCCAAGAAAAGAGTTGGAATATGTTTAATTCTACAATAGCTATTTACTTTTCATTAACATATGATCTTCAGAATTATATAGAAGACAAACTTCAAAGCTTTTGTAATGGAGCAAATTAGGAAACCTAGAGACGCAAAAGGTTTGTCTGTCATAGCCCTACAAATACTACCTTTACCATCTTACAATAATTACTACACCCTTGGTTTATATAAGCAGTATATACACAATACATGTGTTAAAAAAACAGAGTTGAAGTAGAAAGATAAGGAATGATGAGTCCTCTGGAAATGATCTAAACTTCGTACTGAGAATGTAAACATCTTTAGCTTGTAAACTTTCAGGCTTTCCAGCCACATATGAAATACCTAAAGATATAGAAGGGGTAAGGAAGACTTGAAAGTCTCCCACAGACCACAAGAGCAACACAATCAGCAAGCAACAGTAATCTCATACCAAAAATTAAACATGTATTTCTGGGTTCTGAAATCCTTTTTCTAAGGACTCTAAGTTCTGAAATCCTTTTTCTGTACATACACACTCATCAAGTCTGAAAGTGGCACAAGTAACCTTAAAATTTGTTCAAGAACTCTTACCAGCATTTTGGTAAGACCAACTCAATTGTATGTTTGTACCCTGTTTTATGCTGTAACATATATGAAATACTATGTTCAATTCTAAGCCCTACTTTACCAAAAGGTTATTGACAAACTGGAGGCAGTTCAGAGAAAATCAACATAATTTCTCGGAAGGCAGGAAGCACTTATTTATGAGGAAAGATTAAAAGAGCTAAATATTTATAGTTTGGCTCAGTAATGAATGAGGAGGTAGGGGACATGAGAACAGCCCAGAGATATCTGAAGGGTGTAAACACTAAGGAGGGAGAGCAAACGTGTTATACAAGGATGTAAATAGAAATAATGGGATAAAACTAAACAAGGAAAACTTAGGCTGAATATCAGAGAGCATTCTTGGACAGCAAGCAAGCTTGGCCTACAGCACAGCTTCTCAAGTGAAGCAACAGAAGCCCTTTGCTTGAACAACACACCAGACTAGACAAAACACTGGAAAATGTGCCATATGGAATAATCTTGCTCTGCTGAGGAGAAATAGCATGTTATAAAACATAGTGAAAACTTCAGTGAAAAGCTCTAATATTTTACAAGGTGTTGAAAATTTAACATGAAATATAGATACCAAGAGCTTAATCAGAAAAAAAGAATCTAAGAAAACTCCTTAAAAACGAGCAACTTGCACTGAGTTTATGCAACACTTTGACAGAATTTGCGACTCTTTGCAAAGGAAAAATTCACGTGGGCTGCAAAGACTGAAACGGCGCTGGACTGCATTTTCCCCAGCAGAGGTCACTCCAAGTTAAGAAACGACAAGGATATTTAACAGCATGGATTCCAGCTTCAGGAAAGAAGATCAACAGAAAGGAGACATCCTTCTTCCCTCATTCCCAGCACTGCCTTTGGATGCAAAGCTCCCAGATAACAGCATGTCCTGGCAGATGCCAACACGTTACAACACATGTAATGTTCAATCTGCACAACATTCAAAATTGATTTTCTAAAAGGGCCTCATGAAGTGGGTAAATAGAATCTATTTGCAGCTGGATTATGAAGTGTCCAGAATCCATGTGCACATGCACAACTAAAGCCTAGGCTGGGTCATGTTTGGAATTGAAACCAAAACACTTTTCACTGAAAACTTCAGATTACATTAGTTAAGTGTTTACTGTGTGAGTCCTGTGACACAGGCAGACTGACAGGCTTCCAAAAACACAGGGGAAGGAAAATAAAAACTGAGTTTATCTTTTTTTAAAACAAATATATACAAACAGGAAAAAAATAATGTTTTCTAACTTCAAACAGAGCTTAAAACACAACTGAAGTCAATAGAAGACCACTATAAAATGAGTAGTCTGTGTCTCTACAGACTTTTTTCTTCTTGATCCATAGAAGAGTCCACAAATTCATATTTGAGAACCATCCCTTAAAATTTCCAGAAGCTGGCAAGTAAAAACCTTACTGTTCCAGGTGCCATCACCCCATTAAAACTTCTGCCATCTTCATAGTTAATTCCAATGCAAGAATTATCCATGCTCTGTGTCACTGCCACAAGCAGCTGTCCCAGTGCCAAAGGAAAGAGAAGTACCCAGCACATGCAGCAAACTTATGTGTGAACCATAAGGGAGAAAATATGCATAAGCAGAGCTGGAGAGTCATATTTTTGACTAGGCTGTTTTAAAAGGCTGCTCATGGGCAGATTTAAGGTCTAACACTTAAACCACATAGACACTAGAATTGCTAGAACTAGCAAAATGTAAGAACTGATAGAGAGTACTTTTCATATTTCATCCAAAGGAAACAGAGGTGAACTCATGGTGAAGTATTTTCTGGAACATACTGAACTCTGGCTGCATAATTCTCCAGGGCTATGCCTGTTCCAGAGGCCAAGGGACACTTTCCAGCCCCCCAGCTCAGCATTCTCCACCTCTCCCAGCTCCACTACATAACAGTCCCCCTGCCACAAGGTCCTCATCTGCAGGAAAATGAAATACAAGGCACAAAACAGGGAAGGGAGACACAGTAAACACCACTGAGGGCCACAGTCTCCACATCCTGGGGACAAGGACCCGCAGGACAAGCTGTGTAGCCTGGCATTTTTGTCTGGAAGAGATAGGCTCTAGAGTAGATAAACTCTTAGGGATGTCAGTGAACTCCCTAAACCATTGGCTTACCGAGAGACAGGGAGCTATGTAATATGCTAGAAATAGCACAGGGGATTCCCCAGGGTTACTCATCTTAACATTAGATTTTAAAAGCTACTAATACTCAAAGAATTTTTCTGATGTGCCCAGGAGCAGACTGGTGCTCCTCATATTCCACACTTGGCTGCATTTTCGACACAAAAATTAAGAAAACATCGTCTCAAAAGCTATTGGTACAGATTTTTTACATTTTTTTTTTTTAATAAAGAGACTAACTGTAAAGTAAGATCCTAAATAAGATAAACAAAGCCTTACCTGCCTCCTTGCACAAGGCTGCTAAGTCTGCACCCACATAACCATGTGCATTATCAGCCAGCTGCACCAACTCCGCCTCTGTGAGCGAATGGGGAACCTTCCTGAGAAGCTTCTGGAGTATGTCCAGGCGGTCCTGGGCATTGGGAATTCCGATTTCTATCTCTTTGTCGAAACGCCCAGGTCTGCGCAGAGCTGCATCCAGAGCATGGGGGCGATTGGTGGCCCCAAGCACCAAGAGCTGCCCTTCACTGCCTTCCTGAAGGCATCAAACAACGCAAAATGTTATTTTTAAAATACAATTTAATTAAGTCACTGAACGCCATGCAGCTTATAAACATACTTCTTGCTTACTCTTCCAACTACTATACACACTGGAATCCTGATGCTAGCTCTCAAACCTTTTAGATTATAAAGCCCATCAATTATCCCATCCAGCCCATCCCTAATTGCAATTTAGGAATACTATAGGCTGCATGAACAGACAGATAATACAACAGAAACTACTCCAAGATACTCTCATCCCAGTGTCTCCCACCTGAATCCCCAAGAACCTGCTTTCCCATATCAAGAAAGCAAGAACCACGTAAAGAAAAAGAAGTGTTTAAGCTAAAATGTAGCATTGGCACAAGAACAGAATGGCATCAGCAGACCTTGAACAAACAAGGTTGGGAAACAGAGCAGTTAAGGTATCAAAACCAGCAGAGACAGGAGGTTATAAAGCCTTCTGTAGGTTCAGTACGAAAAGCAAGGTCAAAAATCCTAACCAATTTCTTCAAGCTCTGCTTTTGCCCATGTAGAACAAGGCAAGAGCAGCTAGGAGGTCTCTTGCAGTGTCATTCTCTTTTTGTGAATGAAGCACTTTTTCCAGGAAGACTATCCATCAGCCTTTGCCATCAGAAAACACGTTCTTCTGCCTGTGACCAGCTCCAGACTGGGCAACTCAAATGCTCATGCAGGAAAATAATTAGAAACTTGCAGATTACATAAACAGCAGCAAATTATTTTCATACTCTGGACAGGTTTCTTTCATCTTTCCTGCTAATAATCATAAAATAATTGATGAGAGATTGGCAAACTTCATGGGCTTAATCCATAACATACTCTATTACGTTTACTGCTCCTTTAGCAGGCTTTTGTTTATGTCCTAAATATTATTATGGTAATCTTGAAATAGCTGCTATTGCCTTTAATCATGCAGCCTACCTATGACCAGAAGCATTTTGATAACTTTGATTTCAGAGCAATTAATAATACCTGGCTTAGATCAGTGATGGGCTATTACTGAAATTTCAGTTTGATCTCCAAAAGTACGAGAGGGGGAGAAGGCAAAGGAGAGGCAGTGAATGGAAGAAACTCACTTGTTTTTAATCTCAGTTATCAGGAGACGTTCCCCTCCTACATCTTCTGCTTAGCACCCAAAAAAGCATTACATTACTATATAAAGTCTCAACTAAGCCTGTTTTCTTTCCCCCCAAATGACACATCTAAAATTGGCTCCGCTGTAGAAGCAAAATCGTTTTGTTCAGCGAGTGCACATACACATTAATTGTCTCAATACAGTCGACTTACTGAGCCAATGCCATCCATTAACGTCAGCAATGAAGCAACAACTCTCTTTTCCACTTCATTCTGAGCCCCTTCTCTCTTTGGACAGAGTGCATCCAGCTCATCTATAAATATAATTGAGGGGCGACTGGGGGGAAAACAAAAAAGGAAAAAAACGTTAAGGTGCTCGGGAAGATTTAAAACACCAAGGCAGAGAAGTGCAAAGCTGTTCATGGAAAAAGTGCAGTTCCTAGAAAAACTAACAACTATCCAATTCCTTTAGGCAGCTACAAGTTTCAACCTTGAATAAAGAGAAAACTAAAACGACTAATACGTTAGAGAACTAATACCTTCAGTATGCAACAGCCTTTTGCTCATGTATTAGGAACACCCATCACCTGGAAGCCTAAAACCTGCCTTAACCAGGTCTAATAAATTTGGGCAGAACGCCTCCCTACTCCAGAGGCATGCTATATCCAGTACCAACACTCAGACTCACTTCCATGCCTCAGCACAGGGCTATGTTAGTCTCCAAAGATAAAACCAGACAGAAAAACTTGGATCCAGGTGAAACTCTGGCTCCTGCTTCCACCTGTTGAAACAAGGGTACAGTACACTGACAACACAGAGTGAGCGATTTGGCACTGTCTGTAACAGCCCCTTGAAAAGGGCAGCGTCCAAAAGGATTTATTTAATAGGCAGACTAGAATTTCACTGCCTTCCTTCTAGCTAAGCTCTGTATAAACAAATTTATTTCCTTTTAGAAACCACTGCAGGAAAAAGTTACAAACTCAAAGATTCCTGCAAATGTTTTTCTTCTAAGAACATTAAGGCTGGAACAGATACTGCAAATAAAATCACCCAGAAGAACGTACCACAGAGAGGCTTCAGCGAAGATCTGACGTAACCTCGATTCAGACTCCCCATAAAACCTATAATAATTAAAATATTTTAATAAAAAATCATTTTTTTAGTCTTTTCGAAAGTCAATTGGGGGGAGGGGGGAAATCACTGCTGAGGCATTCCAGAAAGGCCACAGCACACACTTTCAGAGTCCCAAAGTAAATGTAGATCTACAACAAACTGTATTTCCACAAGGACAAGAAATTAAGGCCAAGATAGAACCATCTAGTAACTACAAAAAAGATTAAAGGGAAACTTTTTTTTCTGTGTTAGAAACCATTTTATCTACACTTTTAAAGAACAATAAACAGTTAGTGCCCTGGAGACAGTAATCTGTGCAGTGGCATCTTAACTGCAAATATGGTTTAACAAGTTACTCTTCTTGTTGCAGAACTAACCCACGCACAATTGCAGATGCAGTTCCAGTCCCCTCTTTAATTTAGTCCGGGCCTTACACAAATTTCTTAGCCAAGTCCAATAAACCTCTTTAAATACAAAAAGAAACAAAAGCCCTGCTTGAGAAAACCCCTTCTTGCTTGTTTTTGACTCCTTTGGGCAGACAGCCCATAGCCAATACCACATCTATCCCCGCTGGAGAGATGCCAGGACAGATTTTGGGCTGATATATTTATAGAATTAATGAAAATAAAATGGGTGGACTTACTTGCTTATTATTTCAGGCCCATTAATAACAGTAACGTGAGCGCCAACCTCATTTGCGATGGCTTTGGCAATCAGAGTCTTCCCGGTACCTGGAGGGCCATATAACAGCACTCCTCGAGGAGGAGGGATTCCTTTGGACAAGCACATGCACACAAACAGAGAAAAAGAAGTTACTTGTGAGAAATGCCAGACTAAACCTGTACTTGCACGTTTCACCATCCCAGTTATTACCAATAAATCTGACCTCAGCATTAACTTCTTTAACAGACGTGTCATCGTGATAAAACGACACGTCTGCTAAAGGCTTTCAGTGAATAGATCACTCTTATGTGGGACATACATCCACGGTTTTTATTTTTAAAGTCTAAAAGATTCTGTTCAAAAAACAACTCCTTAAATAATTGCATTTTTCAGTTTCCCTATGTGTGTTGTGGTTTTTTCTAAGACATTATTGGACTGAGTACCTAACATCCATGAATAGACTTTAAGTTATTAATGATTCTTACAGTGTCATTACATCAAACTTCCAACATCAGAAAACCACTTCTCTTTAACACTTGAAAAGAATTTCAGAAATACTCTGAGGCTTCATTCAAGAATACTTGCAAGAAGATGAAAAACACACATCAAAAGGGTGAATTTGTCTATTTAATGGCAAATGTTAAGAGCCTAAAAGAAATATTCAGGCACAGCACATAAGGTACTGCTGAGTGCAGTTAGAGCTGGACAGAAAATACAGGTAACTGCACAAAGGTACTATTATGATCCCAGGTAAAGAGCCAAAGCACCAAAACAAGTTCCAGACCAGCAAAGCCAAATTAAATGGGCACAAAGCCAAAATCAGAAGGTGAAAAATTAGAAAGCAAAAAGCAGAGACAAGTGTTTGACAAAGGATTGCCCTTGGCAAAAAAGACATTGGTGAAACACAACCAAAGAAACATCAGGTGGGGACTGGGAATCAGACAGGGAATGATGCCACAAGTCTGAATCTTAGAAACTAATACACTTGAAAAGAAAAAAATTATCTGCCAGCTGACAGAGGATGGAAGTAAAAGTGTCTTCAGCAGCAGGTTCCCTCAGAGCAGTCCAATTAAAGCATGAGCTGCTCCCTCCTGTGGCGTTTCTGGCACGGGCAAGAAACGGAACTGTGGAACCACAGGCTCACCTCATTGCCAGGCTCGCTCCCCGCGAGCAGACAAGGACTCACAACGTTTGGATGGTTACTAAAGGTTTGTAACTGCTGAGGAAACATCATCATCTAGCACGTAATTAGTAGGGAATCTGCTCAAGCACTTTTGGGACCGGGTATGAAGAATGCTGACACTGAAGCCAACTTTGTGCTAACACAAAACCACGTGGTGATGCTGAGGCTGGACCAAATTAAGCTGGGGCACACACAGATGAAGATGCCTCAGACCACCCCACTGACACCTGGGGATCACGGCCGAGAAAGAGCCACCTGTGTGTTATGGAAACTGTCCCAGCTGGAATCACCTCCTCCAGAGTGTGTGTGTGGGAAGAGGTAAAGGCAGAGAAATAAAAAGCCTCAAAGACATGATATTAAAGCAATGTTTATAGGTAAGAGCCCTATCTCACAGCGATGCACACCTAGACAAGGTACATATCCATTTGTGATAAATACACAGTACAGTTTTAGCTTTGTCACAAAAATCCTCTGAGTTCATATATATGTTAGATATAACTTTATATATGGCAACTGTAATCATATTCATTTTTCCACCCTGCAATTCACACAGGAAGGACTCAAACTCCTCATACACTGAAGAGTTGGAGTAAACAGCCTCAAAGACTTCCTGAAAATTTTGCAGGAAGCCTACAACCAGGGATAAAAACAGCAGAAGAACTAATCTGACTTTTTCTCCATTTAAAAACTATCAATAACTGACTCTACCAAAATTAATTAAAATCTTATGACAACTCAAACAATTGCACCTTTCAAACACCCAAGCAAAGAAGTCTTTCCTATTTGCCAAAAATTCCGGTTATGCATGCCTGAATTTTTGTACAGACACACATTTCTTCCCTGCTCACCTATTTTTCACACAAACTCATTGTAACATCTTCACAGTACCCATACAGTATAATTATAGAGCAGCTTGACATTGTTTGGACACACAACTATACCAGGTCAGTGTTACATAAAAGTCAGTGCATACTCCTGGGATAATTTGTGGTGGTTTTGGTTTTTTGGGGTTTGTTTTGGTTTTGGTTTTTGTGTTGTTTTGTTTTTTTTTTTAAAAAGTCAAAGAAGAAAACTGGTATCAAATGAAGAAAACCAACTCTTTAGGCATCATACCGTAACTCTTGAACAGCTCAGGTTGCTTCAAGGGCAGTTCAACTGTTTCTCTAATAGTTCTGAGCTGGTTGCTCAAACCTCCTATCATGTCATAGGTGACTCGGGACTCACAATCGCCATCTTCTGCTACACTGGTCCTGGGTTCTATAAAATTGATCCTAGTTCTTGAAGAAATGAAATAAAAAGAGTCTGTATTGCTAATTGCTCCAGTTTTGCCCGTTATTGGGAGTCCCTCACTGCTGCTTTTCCCAGGCAGCTCCAAATCCTCGGCAAGGTCTGCACCATCTCCTTTGCTGTAGGTTTTCTCTCCCTGACCAGAGTCTGGACCACTGGCTGTCACAGAACTGGGTGTAACTGGTGAGCCTGGATCCATTGGTTTGCTTGGTGTGCTCAAAGATGCAACCCCTGGACTATCACCAATGTCCATCCTGCCGAGCTGTAGGGACAAATCTAAGGCACTTGTCTCCAAATCAGATCTCTCAGGGTCTGGGTCACTGGGAATGGCGCTGCCCTGGGCACTCAGCTCTGCACCATTGGTTCCTTTCACTCTCATCACCACAATGTTGCACAGTTTGCCATAGAAAGTGAAAGCCAAGAGGTTTCCTGGTAGAACTATTTTCCCATCTATGAGAAGATTAAAGAAGAAAAAAGACAAAGAAGGTGACATTTCAATCCACTTTGGCAGCAGTAACACTCAGACATTCTTGCATCAGAATAATTCTTTATCATTCATTTAGAGAATGCTGTTAATTAACATAACAAAGGTAGTAACATAATTTCAAGGTAATTTCAGGTACTTTGAATGATCCCTTTGTACACAAGCAGACCATACTGGATAAACATTTGCCAGCATCATATGTAATCACTCATACTAAACTCATCATTAATTTGAGTCTTTTAAATTTCATACAATATTAATTCCAATAATCTCCCTTTGTAAGAAGTAAAAGTTTTGTATTTGCTGTGCACCTCATAATATTTTGTTTAACCCACTTTCTTTGAGAGTATTGGCCTAAAAAAAGCCAGGTTTTAGCCTGTGCATTGACAGAGAGATGAGAAAATGTGATCTGAATACACCCTACAGGCACAAAAAAAAAAAAAGGAAAAGCATAAACAAGATTTCCAGCCAAACTCATAAATTTGGAATGCAGTTCATGTTTCCTGCTTCTTCGTGTAGCAATAATGTTATTAATTCCTAGACTAGAAGATTCCCTTTGAGTAGAACAATTTGTAGTGAGGAACACTACCTTGAATAGCTTACCTCTCTTTTTTTGCCTTACTTACGTTTATCCACCACCCAATGAAGAGTAATTTTACTTATTTACCACCAACATAAAAAAGAGATTCAGAGACTGGGATTTCAGGTTAATGCTGGTACTTTATCCTGGTTTTAGTGTATCATACTGCACTTGTCTTCACAGTGCAAGTAAACTCTGAAGTGCATCACAATATCAGCCAGAAGGCCATCAGTGCTGAACACTCCTAACTTGAACCAGACAAAAATATAATGGACAGAAGGAATAGAGCCACAACTAATGCAAATTACACATTTACAACATGGCAAAATTATTTAGCCCAAATGAAGTGTGAACAAAATAACGTCCCCTATTTTGCTACAAGCCCTTGATTAAGAACATAAGAGGAAAATATTGGCTCTTCTAACCAAGACTTGATGACCTACTACGAAAATTGAACAGGCAAAAGAGAAGCAGCAAAACTCATACCAAGGTTTCTCAGCAGACACACAGACATTTCCTCGGCATTAACGGTAGCATCTTTGTCCCTGTGGTAGGAAAGAAAAAAATACTTTTCCAAGGAATAACTACTTCAAAACCAAACCAGAGACCACAGCACTAAAGCACCAGGATGATGAATATCACCTCTTTTACAGTATATGACTTAACCCCACAAACAGAAAAGATGGATGAGCAGTCTTCAAATAACAACATCTTAACTCTGAAAATATTACACACACAGCAACAAAAGAAGTGTAGCTATTTCATCTGGGGCTAGGTTTTTGGGTTTGGGTGTGTTTTTTTCCAAAGAAAATGCTGTAATTAACAAAATGCTAAATTAGATTTATTGTTTCTTAGGATCACAAATATGCAATGCAGGCTTCTCACCTCACCAGGCAGAACAGCCATTGCTACATTTACTGAACTGAAAAAAATTCAGATAAGGCCTGCAAACACACATGCAAATCTTTTAAAACAGTGCCTTGAGCACCTGCAAAACTGTGCACATGCCTCAAGCACTGCACATCCACTACCAAAACAGTACAAGTTTTCCCCACAAAACATTTTCTAGTCTTTTATTTAATTAAGTGACTAAACAGATAAGATTCACTACATCCACTTCGCAGAAGAAAGTCCACAGCTTTTCTAAGCATTTACACCTCGGCCTTCAAAGGCACCACACCAAGAGGAAAACGGCAGCAGCACCAAAGGCGTTTAAAGGGGACACAGATGCTGCAAATCAAGGCTTGATCAACGGGGGGAGCCCTAAACCTGCAGATAAAACCCCGTTACTCAATTCAACTGCTCGACAAAGGAACTTGGGGGAAAGAGCTGTATTAAGCTAATTTAAAGGAGAGCCCTTAAAATATCATGGCCTTTCCTGATGAGTAAAGTACATACTCAATGTTGTTGCTGGGGCCTGAAGTTGGGGATGGATTTTTTAACTGGAAGAAAAAGCTGAATTATGCATGCAAGCAGTACCCAGAGGTGTTGATTTGCAGAGAATAAACTTCACCTGCAAAACACCTAGAAACCCAGGGAGTACTCAAATAATGGAACTTCAGTTCATTCTTTAAATAATTTATATTCTTACACCGTGTTTTGCAGTAAATTACCAGGCTTAAAACAGACCAATTACAATTTTCATGTTTTCTCTCCTAATTTTAGAAAAGCAGTAATTTATGAGACTTAAAAATCTGAAGGTACATCTGTAAAACAATCCTCAGAGCCTGACTCTTGATTCACTGAGTGGGAAAACTCTGGCTATGGAACAGTTTCCTAAAAGAAAAATAAATCACAGTAATCATAAATATTTCAAAAGCTACATGCAATTCCTCTGACCTCATTCTTAGCTTGTATTTCTGTAAAAGTCACAACTTCAAAAAAAGAATGCATTGCATATTAACATAGAGAAATAGAAATATATTAGTTTTAATTATGTAATTTATCATGGGGTTGGGTTTTTTTAACAAAATGTGTGTTTTCAACCACCTCTGTAACCAAATATCCATATTTGAAGACAGAGGTCTGACAGGAAAGTGATGTTAATTTATAAAAATATAAGTGCTGGGACACTTTCAAAAGCAACTGTAGAATAACTTTAGGAAATAACTATAATCACATTCTGCATCAACCCAAATGTTGACTCTGTGAAGTGTTAGAATGATAAGTATAGGAAATCATTCAGCAAATCAATAAACTGCTGATTTCTCAGAGCATTCATGATTTTAAGACAACTGCGATTTGTACCTTTCATTCCCTTTTTTGGATCAATTTCAAAAACATACCTCAGAGTTTCCAATCCTAAAAAAAACCAAACAGTAAATAAAAGCAGAGCACAAAACCATCATATATAAAGTTGAAGTTTTGAAGGGAAGTGGTTAAAAAAAAAAAAAAATCACTCTCTTCAACAAGGCTATAACAAGTTCCATACCTCAACTTTACATCGACTTCCTCTGCCTGGATGACTGCACCAGTCACAGGCTGCACAGTGACACCATCACCTGGATTTACTTTCAGGTTCTTCTGTGTGGTTTCATTCAGCCCGATTTTCCCACCTGGAAAGCCTGCAGTGGGCCACGCAGTACAGACCTAGGAAGAGTTTCCAAAGCAAGTCAGTTGAGATTTCCCCCCCATCCCCTATTTCCAGTCAAGCTAACCAACACTTTATTACGAAAATACGGGCTGAGGGGAAGAAGGATTAGGTTAAAACCTGGTGCCACAGAGCAAAATACAAGTAGCATTGAGCTCTTAAGACACGATTCAAGACACTCCAAGAAGGAAGCGGTTGTATTTTGAAAAAAAAAACCAGCAGCATGGACTTTTCCCAGCATTGAGAATGAAGATGTAAATATCATACAGAAAACATGGAGGAGCATGTTCACCATCTTTCTCAATGCATGTTCCGTGTTGGTGCCACTGAATACAAAAGGAAAGCGCTGAAAAGCACAGCAAAAGCCCTTATGTGGGCAAGAAAGGGTCTCACCTCCTGTCGCCCATCAGCTGAGGTGAGCAGGGCCGGCCGCCCTATGCAGAGCTCCGCAGACTTCATGCTGCTCAGCGACAGCTGCGCCAGGGTTCTGCGCAGCATTTTCGGGACTTTGTCGTCTCCTGATGTTTTTAGGGGGAAAAAATAGTCGTTTTTTCTCCCCGCTAAATCCACCGTTTCCCGCCCTCCCCAATCAGTACAACAACTCCCCGCCTCAGCCCTCACGGTGCCCCCCCTGAGGGGAGCGCAGGGACCCTCGTGAGGGGGAACCGCGGGGCGGGGATGCCGACGGGGCTGGGCAAACACCCGCGGTCACACACTGCTGCTCGGTACCGCACCTTCCACCCCGATATAGCTCCCGCTCCACGGGAATAAAGAGCGGATTTCACGGGGGCCCAGCCGACTTTGCCTGAGAGAACCCCCCGGTCCCGCCTTCGCGAGCGCGGCTCGGCAGGGACTCAGTTTCAAACGAGGCGCCCTCAGCGCGCCGCACTTGGGCAGCCGAGGCTGGGAAAGCCGGGCTTGGGGAAGTCCGTCCCCGACCAGCCCGTCCCCGCCGCCCGCACCCCCGTACCTGCCTCCACGGCGTCGGCGACGCGCAGCGCCAGCGGCCCACCCTCAGCAGCTCCGAGGGGAGCATCCCGCGGGGAGCCGCCACCCGCGGCCAGGCGCCCCTTGCTCTTCCTTTTGGAAGAGGAGGCAGACATGCTGCCCCACCGCCGAGTGGTTCCGGAGCAGAGGCCGGCACCGCCCCGGGGGCGGAGGCTCCGCGCCCCCCGCCCCGCTCGGTGCCATGGCGCGGCTGTGGCGGGCCCTGCGGAGGGCGCGGGACTGGGCGGCCCTGGCGGGGCTGCGGGCGCGGCCGGACAAGTTCGGGGGGGTGAGCGTGGACCTGGGCGAGCTGCGCCAGCCCCCGCGGGTGGAGCGGGCCGCCTTCGGGCGGTGGCTGCGGGGCAAGTGCCGGGCGGGGCTCCTGGGGCAGCGGGGCGGGCGGGGGGCGCTGTGTGAGGGGCCGGCGGGGTCCCGGGGAGCAGCTCCCCTCAGCCGCCGCCTTCCCCTCACGGGCACAGAGCCGCGGCCGTGCGGCGGAGAACGCTGGCAGGAGGGAGCGGAGGGCGCTCACAGAGCCACGGGGTTGTCAGGGTTGGAAGGGACCTCTGGAGATCATCCGGTACCATCCACCCCTGCCAAGGCAGGGTCACCTGGGGCAGGTGACACAGGAACGCGTTCATGTGAGTTGGAATGTCTCCAGAGAGGGAGACTCCCTGGGCAGCCTGTGCTCTGCCATCCTCAACGTAAAGGAACTTCTTCCTCGCGTTGAGGTGGAACTTCGTGTGTTTTAGTGTATGGCTGCTGCTCCTTGTCCTGTCGCTCGGCAAGAAACTGCAAGGAGTCTGACACCGTGCTCTGGTGAAACTGAAAAGAGTCTGGCACTGTGCTCTTGGCACCCACCTTTGGAATATTTATATGCATTAATAAGATCCCCTCTCCGTCGTCTTTTCTCCAGTCTAAACAGGCCCAGCTCCCACAGTCTCTCCTCGTAAGAGAGATGCTCCAGACCCCTAATCACCTTTGTTGCCCCTCACTGGACCCTCTCCAGCAGCTCCTTCTCTTTATTATGCTGAGGAGCCCAGGACTGGACACAGTACTCCAGATGAGTAGATTCCCCTGTGCCTTACAGCAGACCCTGACAGAAAAGCCATTATTTCATGTGTGAACACCACGTTGTACCACATGTAATGTCAAGCTGGCAGCCCGTGTCATTGCTGGCACCTTCCTCACACCAACAATAGTTTGACCCTGTAAATGAGGTGAAAATACAGATCTTTGCTCAATAACCCCAGTTGTTGTGCGCTATAAGGTTTAAAACCACACAGATCAAGGGCAAGGTGGGGCTGTCTTTGAGTGGTCACCATGGCCCTGACCTTCCTCACTTCCCTCTCTTGCAGAGTCCGTGGCTCAGTGGCGGCAGGAAGGTCGCATTGCCGTCTGGCTCCGTGTCCCCATCCTCCAGAGTGGGCTTGTGGCAACAGCTGCTTCCCAAGGCTTTGCTTTCCACCACGCCGAGCAGGGCTCATCCACCCTGACACTGTGGCTGGGAGAGGGGCCCAGCAGGCTGCCAGGGTTTGCCACCCACCAGGTGGGTGTTGCAGGTGAGTTACAGGAGTGATACCCACAAAAAGACTTGAACAAGCCCTTAGGACCAGTAGGAAATGGGCTGTTCCTCTGGACAACCAGCACATGGAAACCAGCTGCCAACTACCATTGGGGTGACTTTACAAAGGGAAGTGTGTCATTCATGAATGCGCCTGTACAACAGCATATGTGGCTAAAAACAGGCAGATAGAGGTTTCTCAAAACAATTCCAGTTGGAGAAAATTGTGAACAGCTCAGGGAGAAGAAAATGTGGTCCTGAAGCTGTAGAATGGGAGCTCATGATATTGCTTTTAAACACCATTCTGAGAAAGGTGTCGTCTTTTCACCTTGCAGGTAAGAGACAGTAAAGATTTCAAGCAGCATTTTAAAATGAAGAAGTAAACACAATCATAGAGAAATAAAAAAGCACTTCTCTGCTTGCTGTCCTTACTGTAGATGCTTAATATATGAATCTGCCTAACCTATGCTCACATTAAGGTCTGTAAATGGGGACAATTTGACCTAACAGGGATTGTTCAGAAGCTAAAACAACTATTAGCTGAAATTACAGTGGTCTAAAAGCTACTCTAAGCTGTGCCTGGAACTCTGTATTCCAAACAAATATATTTTACAAGCAAACATCTGGACACCATACTCTTAACCAACTAGAACTCCCACAATCACAGTTGGAAAGGAGTTGTTCCATAACTGAGAACATTTGCAAGGAACTAGATAGGATGGTTCCCTTTTTTTTTTGTTTTTTTTTTCTTTGTATAGCACAGTACAAGGAACTGATGATGAGCCAAAAAAACTTAGCTTCACCAAATTCGAATGTGTTAGCACTGTCTCTCTGCAGAGTTCCACAGATATGCCACTGCCTATCCCATCTCTCAGTAATCTGTTATTTGGAGGTTTGTTTGGACCCCTCGTGTAAAGCTTACTTTAACACCCAGAAATTATGGGATAGGGAGAGCAAATCTCTCCAATTACAACCTTGACTTGTTTGTCCTTGCCTTGCAGGGACTGTGTGGGACGTTATTTCTTCACCAAGTAGTGTTAAGACCCATAAATAGCAATTTGACAAACCTAGTTAGGAAGAACTCACAAAAGATGGATTGTTCGGTGTAGCAGCAGGTCAGGTGAAAATAAGTTTGGGGGAAAACGCCTTGAATTACAAAACGGTGCTACTGCCATCGGCAGTGGGAGCCTTCCGTTCCACGGCCAGCAGAGGGCAGGGTGGAAGCCGAAGGCGGCCTTGGATTTTGTCAATGGACATGTTGGAGCATGTTTTCCTGAGGTATGGAAACCTCACCATTAAAATATGTGGCATTAAACTGGAGCAGGATAGCGCATTCCCTCAGCAGAAGCTCCGCGTTACTCCTTGTGGTTGTAACTTGAGTGCTTGAGGAAACGGAACTAATTGAGAGGGGGTTTTTCTGAAGTAAGACCTGCACAGCTGAAAATGTTGTTTGGAAGGAAATCATGTAAAAGATGTGTTGTGACCCCGGTGGGTATCAGGAAGGACTTTGTGTAAGAGAAATCATAACTCTTGAAAGACTGTCAAATAAACATTTGAAAATACAGAAAATGCACTTTCAGAGCATAATTTGCAGTTCCACTTTGAAGCACTTGGCACTCTGCAAGTAGGAAAAAGCTTTGAGGAAAGGAAAAGTTTCACAAGTGCAGGTAGATGGATTTCATAACTTATTGCACATATTTAAAAGCTGCACAACATTAAATGTCTGTATTCTTTGCTGTCACTTTTCAAACCTATGCGTTTTTACTCATTATTGGAAATTTTTTTAAAAAAGGTAAGGAGTTAAGGAAGGCATTTTGGGCAGGTAGACAAGCAGATTTCTCTGTGAAATAATGATTGCTATGTGTTTTTTTTCCTGTATTCCACTCACTCTCAGTGGAGATGGAACACATCCCAAGAATACACTAAGCAGTGTGGCTACCACCTGGAATATGTTTATTCAGTTAGCTTTCTACTTTAGGACCAAGAGCTTGGGTAGTGGAAGGGCTTCATTCTATTTTTAATTAATTTTATTCAAATATTAAATTATGTAAATATGCTCTTTTATATTTTGTGGGTGTCAAACCCCAGGCATTTTTATTTCCTGAACAAAAAAAAAAAAGTATTTTAAAAAGTGTCTGCAGTAAAGGAAAGCAATTTTCTGATGAGAATCTCCATCTCAAAGCTGTGGCCAGTCAGTGAAATACAGGACTCAGTCCCTTGAGCATCCTGGAAATGAAAAGCAGAGACATGGAGAGTGGTTGGCTGGCCAGAGGGAAACCAGCACAGGGAGCAGGCAACAGGTAGCAGGTCTCATTGCCAAGTAGACCAGCAGCTGGTTTTCCTGCTGTCTGGAGTTTCCCACGCAGGGAACGCTGCACAGCCAGGGTTTGTGCCTCGGGATGGTCCAGCCAAGTGATGACAAAGGTGTGAATAAGCGAGGTCAGGTCATACTTGACCAGACTGGATGAGAGTCGCCAAGCAGAGAGTAGCAAATGTTACTCATTGGGCTTGGCCATTATTGTTTAGAAATAGTGGAACATGTGATGTGTCTCCCAGCTCACTCGCTGCATCCGTTTGTAGGCGGCAGGATTTTCCACATGTGTAAAGATACAGGAAGGTCTCTGGTGTATGAAGTGATTAACATGTTTTGCAGAAGCATTTCCAACATTCTCCACCTCCTGGGAGGAATTGGTCTGCCACCCAGAAAGGGACGTGTTTGTAAACATGCCACGCAACAATGGCACAGGCAGACAAGCTGAGGAAGGAAAGTGAAAGGAGAGGAAGAAAAGTAAAAGTCATTTATTCTCTTCTCCCTCACATGTAGTGTAAGCCTTACAACACAGCTGTTATTTTCATTGCTACCTACCTTAATCTACTTATTGAATCAAAGTCCTTGGAGTCTACACACACTGAGGATTATCAGCCTTAGCCAGTCCTGTTACTTAGGGAAATGGGTAAAATGAGCAGCTGCATTAATGTGAAACTGCACAGGAAGGTTATGATGGCCCAAGGAATCAAAAGTGATTTAAAAGTAGTTCCCAAGTTGTTTTACAAATACGTACTCCTGTCTGCTGCTGTTTACAATGCAAGCGGTCGTGCATGCACTCATGTGGTCAACAAGTGCTTTTCAACTCTGAACATCTTTGCATACATGTTTACATCAGTCATAAATAAAACAGGTAGGATGAAGATATTTTTCCCCTCCATTACTCATTACCTGGAGTTGTCTAAGGGATTTTATTTTTTTAATGCTTACCTGTTTCCCAAAAGAGAACATTCAAAACAAAGCGGTGTTGTAATACTGAGTACTTGGCTGGGTTATAAGTATAAACCTTTCCAGAAAGTCCTGGTGTTGGATGATTTAAAGCTCCAGGTACCACATTTGTAGCAAGGGGGAGAGTTTTTAAAACTGCAGTTCAGGGCCTGCAGTCAAGCTCTGATCTCACTGATACCAACCAGGTGCAGCTCAGGGCCTTCAGAGCTGCTCTTGGGAACACGAGACTGGACAGCAAATCCTGTTAGTGTTCTTTCTTTCTTTTTGCTTTGGTTTTAGGTATCCTCTAGCAGAGATTCTGAGCATCTTAGTGACAATTTCAC